TTTTAGGAAGACTTTTTGAGACTTGGAAATTAGTACAATCAGAATGATTAGTTGTATTATGTAGATCAGTAAAAACGAACAATTTTAGAGAGAGTTCTTACATGGCATGCCAGTGTTGTTTTGCCAAATAAGATAATTATAAAAATATACTCAACACATTTTTAAAAGGAAAAGATTGTGCGACTTGAATTGGAAGAGTATAACAACAAAAAGATAGCTTCTTTTCACAGAGTGAGTGTACAGTTTTGTTGCCCTTTGTTTGTTGTGTCTACTTAAATGAAAATGATTCTTTATCACCTTTGGAACCATTGTTCGATAGTACAGCACTACTAAGTGCTCAGTGTTTGACAAAAGCTTGAGGAAGAAAAAGCTCCATGATTTTTATGTAATTTCACCACCAGCCCCCCTTTTCTTTGGTCTTTTTGAAACAGGGCCTCACTATGCACTCCCGGCTAGCCCTGAAGTCACTTTACAGGCCAGGCTGGCCTGGAACTCATAGCAGTCCTTCCTCAGCTTCTCCAGTGCTGGGATTGTGCTACCATGCCTGGTGATTTCAGCCTGTTTTATTAAGCAAATTCTAAAATGGCCAGAGAGGCTTTCTGTGTATCATGCCTTATAAAATTATGTTAATTTGGGCTCTTTTGAGATTGTTGGCCAACAATTTTTGCAGTGAGTTTAGCTTTTTTTTTTTTTCTGGTGGTTTTTTAAACTAGTGACTATCATGCACAAATCAATGAACAGGGAAGTCAGAAGGCCAACATCAAACAATGAAATAGTATCATTTTTTACATAAAGTTTGTTGGACTGTATTTGAATTACGCTAGCAAATGCTTGGGAGAAGTATTTGTGTACCCACTTAACAAGTTACTCTGAATAGTGATTCACAATAATTATATTATTTTGATTCATGTAGTTATTGTGGTATAGTAGAAAGAACACAGAATGGGAGATTCAGGCTCTGTCTCTGTTGGTTACTGGGTAAGCCACCCGGTCTCTTTGGCCAGGTGTCCTTAGATTGAAACAAAGAAAGGGGGGAAAAGGGAATTAGATAACATGATACCTTAAAGCTATATGAGTTTGTTTGTAAGCTTATTTCCAGTTCTTCAATTGATAGGTTTTCTCTGTGATTTCATTTCTTTTCTGTTCTATATGATTTTGTGTCTGCTGGTATGGTTTTTAAAAAACTAAATTTTCTGGATGCATGGTATTACTATCAAATTCCAAAGTATCTAATGGGCAGACATGTGTTATTATTTCCATGTCATTTTTATATCCCTACGGACACAGGAGTCTTTTTTTTTAATGTAATTGGTTATTTATATGATTCTCATCAATTGATCCATTTAGTAAGTAAGAATGGAAAATTAAAGTTTGCTCTGTAGTTCTATGTGTGGGCTGTAAAATATTTGCCTATTTATAAATTGTTTTGGGGGGAAGTAGTACATATTATAAAAGATACAGTACGTATTATAAAAGATAATTATATGATAGTTTGACAACTTTGTTGGTTGTGAAAATAGTAGTTTCATTCTCATTAGGTTGTAGCCTTTAAAATTAAAATTATGTCTTTTCTGTTGCTATGTTTCAAAGTGGCATTAGTCATATTAAATGGTTAAGATACAAGGTATACTTACAAGTATCAGTGTGTTTTCATGTTGGATATACACACTTTAAGACCTTCAAGAGTTTTGTAATCAACTCTCCTGCCCTCTGTAATTAGGACAAACAGTGTGAATTCTAACCCTATTATATAAGCTCAGAGATTCTTTCATATTTTATTTGCAGAAGTACCTCCTAATTTCAGTAATAATTCTTTACTTTAAAAAGAAATTTAAAATAATTAGTTTTCACAAAATGAAAATGATTTATTCTTTTGGCATTTATTTCTGTATATTCATTTTGTGTTTCTTTGATCTTTTACAAAGAAATACTGTTTCTTAAAGACACTGAATTTTATTCAGGGTCCTTCTCCTTTATTCAGATATTATAATGGACAATCTTTATATAGATTTAATAAAGTAAGGAAAACTTGCAGTTCTACTTTCAGTGACACTATTCTCATTTTAAAATTTAAAGAAAAAAAAAAAACCCTTCATGTATGACCCTATAGGTAATGTGTTTGTTTTAAAAATCTATTGGAAGTAATCTAGCTGTTTCTATTTGCCAGTCACTTTCTTTCCAAGGAAGAAATAAAAATGAATGTTATTTGATGTACTCACCACTTCCTTTGCAGTGGTCAGCCTATCTGCCAAGGTAGGTCTGAGGAAGCCTGCAGAGTCTGTTTCTGATCAGGTACTTTTAACCTACAGGTGAGTTTGTAGGTTCTCTTCTTGGACTGGCTTTACAGCTTACATTCCTGTGTTTATATTGTTGTGGGGGCTGGTTTCAGCTGAAGCTGATGTGATTGGTCACTTAGTCTGCAGGGGGGCCAATTAGCTCTGATCATGTGGAAAAGAATGCTGGTTTGTTAGGAGGTCTTTCTTTACTCAACACAAACCTTAACAACTCTGGAGAAAGCCTCCAGAACTGACTTGGAGAAGGGGTGCATTTTTTCCCTCTAATCAGGACCGGTTTTTAGTAAGTTTGCATAATCTTACTTAAGAGTTTATTTGAAAGTTCAAAGGGATAAAGTTCCCTGCAAGATTTCCTTTCAGACGTCTTTCCTTATATAGCATGTTGAAGTGTGAGATATCTCCTTCACTAATCCTTTTTTCCACCATTTCTTTGGGGAAGATTTATTTGGATAAGGATGTTTAGGCATAAATTATTGAATTGATTTTCCTAGTTTTCTTTTCCTATTCCATCTTTTAAGAATGGCTATCATTAGTTCTAGAACCAGTAATTTAGATAATTTAGTTTCCTGAACTTTTTTTTTTAATGGCAAAGAAACAGACTTTTTGAAGAGAGTGCATAAAAAGGCTTTGATTAGGAGTAAAATGGTTTACATGTACTTACTTATCTTTAAACAGCACAAATGTGTGAAAGAACTGAAATTATTTCCTAAAACTTGCTTTTGCAGTGGGGATGTTTTATTGATAAATGTAGTGAAGTAGAGTAAAACAATATTCAGGGAACATAAATTTAACTCAACACTGAAGTAGTGTTTAGCTGGGAAATGTCTGATCTAGCTTGTAGCTACCTTGAAATGAGCTAGGGTATGGCTTTAATACCTTAGTGAGCAGTACTTTTCTCCTCTGTTAGCTGCTAATTTTAAAACTTTGATCAAATGTCACATGTAAGAGGATCGAGAAACAAAGACTGGTTGTTCAAAAAGTAAAATCATGGAAGGCCTGCTGGGAAAATTATTAATGTAGAACAATATAATGCTACTTAGAAAGGGAAATCCGCCTTTGTAGATTCCTCTCCTTCCCCCGACAATTTTAAAAAGATATTAATTCCTTCTTTATTATTGCCAAACATTTCAGTACAAGTTGAGACACAGCAATGAAAGTTTGACCCTTTGAACTAAGGAAGCTAATGGCAGCAAGGGAAGGACTTATATGAGATTCATTTCTGCATATTAGTAGGAACTGTACTTTGTAAACTCAACCTAGAATCCTCTTTCTAATGTCCTCCATTTCAGAGTATATTTAGACAAAAATTATTTGGCGAAAATGATCCTTCTGATTCCTGGAGTTTTGCAGTTTTATTTTATTTTATTTTTCGTAACAGGGATCAACCTCAGGACCTTGTGCTTGCCAGTCAGGCGCTTATGCTGTTTAGCTATTTCCCTGGCCCCATATTTTCTGGTTTTAAGGTATGCTGTTGTATACAGCTCTGGTGTGCCCACTTGGGCAAAGTACTGCTGAGATAGCAGCCTGTGTATTTACATTTATTTTTGGTTGAGGTTGTCAGGTTAGTTAGGAACAAAGTAGTACTATTAAAGGTAAGAACCTATCTTCACACTTAAATACACAGACCCTCCCGTCTGAACAGAACTTGTGATTTCTGTTTTAGGTGTTTTACTGTAAGGTAATTGGAGATCCCTCTACAGTGTATATTCTGTGAGTGAAGATAAAAAGCTAGGTACCTTTTCTTTTTTCTTTTTTTTTTTTTT